TTAATTTTACGCAATTAATTTCGATAATGAGTGAAATTAATTTTCAAAATTATTTACCACACAAATGTGAAATTTTCAATAAATTCGTTATTGCGAAGAAACTTTTTTTATTAATTATTTATTTTTAAAAATATTTGCACGCGTAAGAATGCAAAATCGTTTAATCTCCAGTTGAAAGTTTCGTAATGCAAGAAAAACTTGACATATTTGCTTAAGAAAGTGAATCGCTGAGGCGATCGCTATTTTCTCCTACGTATATTCGTTTTTTGCCATCTTATCTCCAATTATCCTCAGTTCACATACGCGTACGTGCACTCTAGGAATAGGGCGTACTTTCGGGATTTAATTGCGACCCGTGACGAAGTCTCGTCCCGTGTTCGTTACGAGGGTCTGTGTGCTTTGCTGGCTCAAATTGAAAGCTTCGTTTCACACATGAACGTGCACAGTCGTCCACGTAACATATCTACACAGAGGCACGCTTTCTGCTTTTCTATCTTCTGTCCGTCTGTGTGTGTTTACGTAAGTATTTACGCCTGTGTGCGTGTCTGTATGTGTGCGCATGCACGCGATACGCACAGCAACCAAGGATTACGTGTCACAAATTGGTATTACCTAGCATTGCGAAGCATAGTCACAGAGACAGGTGTGCACGCGGCATTTCGAGAGAAGCGTCTCGAAGTGCTCCCAGCATACCTGATGCGATTCACCGTAGTAAGTTCTAACACGATTTCGTGACAGGCAATTTGCTTTGTAAGGAAATAATTGCAATCAGTTAGGCCAGCCAACACAACCGAATTCATCACCGTTTTAAGGCTTTACGAGTAAACCTCTGTATATACGAAGGGCAGAAATTCATTTCGGTTGTCGCTCTAAATATACATAATTCCTTCGCACTTGGAATCTCTCTCGTCGCACTTTTTTCCGGCCAAGGAAAAGTACGAGTATCTGCTCCCTACGCGAAGTTATCGCATTAATTTCGGATGAATAATTAAAGCCTTTTAAAGAGTTAAAGTGTATTTTAAAAAAGAGCTCACGCATTTACCAGTGCACGAATATAATTCTCATCTTTCAATTAAAGTCGCGAATTTTCTTGCAAATATTCTTAACGTTCCGAAGGCTTTCCGTCTTTCATCGACGGGATATCGTGCTAAGTACGACTATATTTCGAATTTGTCCATGTAGTATTCGTATACAAAGATATTGTCGCCTCGAAAGTCTCGCGGGAACCGTTTTGACACGGGACGCACGTCGATAGATACATTATCGAGCATCCGTGTGAGCGAGCGAGCGCGCGAACTCGATCGCCGGAGTGTCGATCCTCGGAAAATTCAACTTTACGCGACGGGGCGTCCTGGAGGCGCTTGAGAGGCAGTATTATGCGCGCACCGACGATATTGAAAATATTTTAAGAAATCTGTCACGCTGGGGGAATTTACCGCCCGATAAAGTCGAGCGGATTTAACAACATCGAACGGGATTATTTGACGAGATAGAATTCGTTTCACTCGCGAAACCATCGCGGCCGTTCAAAGAAGGATCGTTACTTCTTCGTAATTTGCTCCGATGTCCAAATAATCTTACAATTAGATGTATATCTTCTGTATTTTTATCGAACAAGAAGTATAATAATATTTAAAATTCTATGCGATACATTCACACTCGGATGAAATGGAATGATGTTGCGCGATATTCACTCTCAACACAAATACCATGCAATACAATTAAAAATAATAAAAAAAAATATAAAATAAATAAATACAATAAATAAATAAATAAGAAAAATAATTAAATATTAAAAATGAGCGAGCATCAAAACTAAAAATAAAAATTTTGCGAATATGAGAGGAATCTATCAAGATTTTTATTATATTAGGAAATTAAATTCTATACGTAACCGTGCGCAAGAGAGATGCAAAGAGAGAAGAAACATTTTAGCAAATTTAGGTGTTCAATTTGTGGATAGATTCGCCTTATTGCGGCGCGTGCGTTCACCTAAACTTTTCGTACAAGGGAATCCCTTGTGTACAGCGAATAAATCCGCCATCGTATACGAAACGGCTGTTACGTGTCGAGTCATTCTGCGGGTACGACACAAATTCCTTTTCCCGAGTATAGCGCCGTTAAGGGGAATCCCGGGTAAATAGAGTGCCACTGACCGTCGTGAAAGACCCGCACATGTATACGAAAAGTCAGAGCTGCTGGCGACAATCGTCGTCGATCGCGACTCGCTTTCAACTCGGACGATAATCGTTGCTCTTTGGAATTTACACATAATTCTGTTCCTTCTTACACATAATATATTTCCTTCGACCGAGATTGTGCAAAAACGCTTTCAACTTCGCTATCTACGCGTTCAACATTTTGCCACGTTCGACTAGAGAGAAATACATTATATAATATTCACATGAGCTTATAAACAAAATCTGTCATCATTCAATTTTTGCAATTTCACCGAACATTTTTAAGAAAAGAAATAATTGAATGTTTTAAAGAAATACTATATCTTTAGAAATATCAATTTCCAGTTTAAGGGTGCAGATGATAAAATTACTCTAATTGCAAAGCGATCGCATATTATTTTTGTCGCTGCACTTTGTCATTACATAAATAACAGCAATCATAGTTTCTCCGTTGGACTCGGATTGTGATGCATACGTGTGCTCATTGGATCTGTTTACTGTAAAGACCTTCGAACGCGGTAAATGCACGTTTTAGCGCGCTAGTTATACGTATATATACATACATATACACATGTCCCAGGGGTATCCCGCGGAATCTCGCGAACGATGGTTGGTGAAATGTTTCCCCGGGAGGGTACGTAGGTATCAAAGAATTCCTCACGACTGAGTAACGCTCGATCCAGGTTGGGGAGGGTATCGTGGATGCGCGTAAACTGAGAGCGTGCGTTCAACAATGTTGCACAGCCCCGTTGTTATCCTGCATGTTACATGGAGAGATATTGCAGCAACCCGGTATATCGTACGGAAGGGACGTCAAGACGCGGATTCCGCGGCAGCCAACCCTCTCTGCGTTTTCCAGACGGTGGACGTCAAACGAATCCGGGCTCTGCGTGAATGCGTTTGATCTCGTTGGTTTTAGACACGGCGAACAACTTGCCGTTACCGGTTCTCGTCAGATGTTTTTGTTTCTCAAAATTCCTCCCCGTTGTTCTCTGTCGATACTCGTCATGGTGCTTTGTCTCGAGGTCTTTATCTTTTTTTCGTATATCTCCGTTTATTTAACACCCTCGGAAAAATGATGGAAATTATTAGGAAATGATGATTTTTTTGGAGTAGAGGAGGATAATGGAATATTTTTTGAAACTTGACAGCAGGAACATAACGTGTCCTTTTTACTTTAAAAAGTATGTAATATTTTATAACAGATATTTTATACAATTCTATTTCTCCTTGATAGGAATTTTGAAATTTAAGTTTCATTATTCCCTCCATTCTAAATAAATCACAATTATCTCACAGCTGTGATAATAATCGATGACTTAATTATCATTATGTATATATTTTTAATCATCAAGTATTTTCTTTTCTAATAAGATATAAAGAAATAAATAAAAGGAAAGAAAGACATATTACATTTCAAGTTTTATTAAAATTATATAAATGCATTACTTATTTGTAGAAAAATTATGTCAAGAATCATATTTCCAAAACGTTTTTATATAGTCTAATATTTATTACATGTATTTAGATACATATATATATATATATATATGTATCTAAAATATTAAATTATATAAGTATTTTAAAGTATATAGAGATTATTTATTTATTTAATATTTATTTATTAAATGATTAATGTATCACGAAGCTTATTCTTATTTTATTTACTTGAGTCTACGATTCTATTGTTGCGCGTTCTCAATTTAAATTATATGTAGATCATCAAAAAATCTAATATTATAAAGCATCAGAAATAGAAAATATATTTGATTCTAAGTATCTTTAAAATATAATTATTGTCTGTAAAAATCACAACAAGAAATAATAATTTATAATTTATACATATTCTTATATCATTTTCTTAATTTGATCAAATGAAGAAATTACGCAAAAAATACACTTCGAGATCTGTTGCGACATATGTAGTTAATTGTAAAAGTCAATTAATCATATCATCGTTTTCCGATACTAATCGCGATCGCGTTTATAAAAGGAATTCAACGGAGCGTCTCGCACTACCTACTTTTCTGCTCGATTGTCAGCGCGCGAATAATAAAACGGAGCTGAAGCACGTCAACAATACCGCGCTTCGACACCAAGACCGAATATCGAATAGGTATGTTATTGATAATTCGTTGCCGAAATATTTTACGCACTATAACATACACTATATATAACACGGACTATTAAATTATACAAGAATTTTTAAGTATATAAACGATTGATTTATTAAACGATTGATGTAACCACGAATCAAAATATAATTCGGATTGAGCAATAAAATTGATTCGCAGGATTGAGTAAATCAAATAAATAAGATAAGCTTCGTGATACAATCGTCTAATAATTAATTTCTTAAAACTTAAAAATTATTTTAATAATTTAATATTTCGTGTATATATATAAAGTTTATAAAAAGAACATGCTGGAAATATGTAATTCACAATTTTCCTACGAATAAAATACATTTAGGTATATAATTCCAAAAAGTTCTTGAAATGCAACATGTCTTTCTTTTCTTTCATTTATTTCTTCGTATCCTACTGAAGGATATTTACATACATATACCTATAATATATTCAACATTATATGGCGCGATTGCATAAATTCCGGCAACACCGATTACAAGATAGGCCGGCAGCAATTGTCGCGCGTCTTGGTGCGCACGGGCGAGATGTCAAGTCACCGGTAAAAGTATCTTTCGAGGGAGGCAGGCATCAAACAACCCCCTACTGCCGGAATCGTCGTCGGCATTGCGCTCGCGCAGGGTTGAGCGCGCGTGTCCGTGTTCATCGTGCAGTATATACGTGGTGTCGAGCAGTAGCACCGGCACCACCAGCCAGCACCATCAGCCAGCATTCAGCAGCAGTAGCCGCGACGTGGTTGAAGGGCCCTTTCGGGATGCCGTCGTGCTAAAAGTCCGGTGTCGCGGCTGTGTCGGTCTTATATCCCGTTGCCCTTCGACGTGGCTCTTCGCGCTTTATATACGCGACGAACCCGACTCGGAGCAGAACTTTCGGCAGTCGAGTGGATGCATCGGGATCAAGTTCTGTTCCTCGTATCCACATAGTTTCGCAGGTGCGCGGTTTTCGATTTCCCTCACGAGATCGGAGCAGAGGATCCGACACAAAGGGTCTTCTCGGCGTAAGTTCGCGCGTGATCGGCCGGGACGAGAGTTTGCGCGCGGCGTGAGTTTTTCTTTCAGCGCTTCTGGTTCTCTGGAACGATTGTCCCTTTGAGAATAGAGAGAGAGAGAGAGGGAAGTTCGGGATCGGTTCATTGCTCCGGTATGTTCTCGTGTTGCGCGCCGATCCTTGTGTACGAGAGAGATTGGAGGACTTGAAGCCGACGAAGGGATTGACGTACGGGTCACGTGATTCCGAAGTTTTCTCGACAGGAGTTCGACTACGGATTTATAAATATATTCTTGATCATCGCGCTTGCGACATGTGTGACATGCTAATGTCATATTAGTGATATTGCAGCTCTATTATTATTGAGATTTTAAATGTTACTGATCTTTTGATGATGATTGATATCATCCGGCAGCGTATATGAAAATTGCTTTATTTGTTAGTCTTTCGATGTGTCTTGATATAAATACGACTCACAAAATTGAATCAGTTGTTTTAAAAATAATATAAATATTATTAGTCCAAGAATGCTTCAGCTAATTTACTATTATAAAAATCTATGTCAAGCGAGTTTATTTAACTCGTATGTGTAATGTTGTACTATCTGGATATATTTTTTACGCCGTTTAAAAATAATATTTATTCTCCAAAAATAGAATAATCTTCGTGTGTTTTTACTCGAATGTTTTCAATCTTGGATTTATATTGTTTTTAAAATAATATGTTCAATCTCTACCTGGTCAATTTCAACGACTTATCGATTGACTAAACGTTGTTCGCATTGTGGATCGATTCGACGTCGATTTTATATTTATTCTTTTCACTTACATAAGATCGAAAAAAACGATAGAGAAATTTTGTCGCGCTTTTTTTCCGATAACGAAGTTAGATGCCTGTAATTCTTATACGATAAGAGAAATGCGCGTTCTCTTTTTCGGAATTGATTAACGACTCGACACCGCTCGAGCATGAATTCGTACGAAATCTGGCGGCGTGCATATCGTTCGGTAGATTTATGACGTACATTGACGATCGTTTGCTCGGCGCGACCACCCGTTTCGGAAGTATAATATTTCCGAATCGATCGTACGTCGCCGATCAGAAGCCGCGAATAATCGTGTTGTCACCGACGTGTACCGTGCGCGTGATTACACCAATAAATCCTTGCCGTTTGGCATAAAGAGCAGAAGTTTAGATAGTCTTCTATTCAGGCTGGAGAGAATTTAAATATTTTTTACGGTGGAAGAATAGTATTAAAAAAATATAGGCAAACTTTTTTCACGAGAGTGAAAATGTCTCAAAATTTTAAGATATGACTGTGAAGAACAGAGTTTTATTAAATGTCGCGCGCTTCTTTTTATGACGTGTTTCTAGTTAAAAATATCTGATTTAATATCTTCTCTTTTCCGGAATAAAATTTCTTTCTCGAATTACAAATAGCAAGAGAATTTAATCCTTCTTCGTCTATTTCTAAACCAGATCTGACAGAGACTTGAGAAAAAATGTAAATTTTCAGAACGTTTTTAAATTCTTTTTTTCAAGAATGCAAGTACAGATCTCTTAAATGAAAATAATGAGCATATATTGGGTTTTCAATCCAGTATTTAAAAAAATCACGCTGTTGTGCGCGGTTGAAGCAATTGGTCGCTAATAACTCATTCTGTCCGAAACCCGTCGCCATTCGTAAATATAATTGAAAAATACCAGGGGACAAAGTAACGCACGAGTGCCTTCGGCGGCAATCCATTCCGGCACGGTGGAAACAACGGTGATTTTCTGGGCGATTTTGTAATTCGACGAGAGGACCATCGCGAAAGTGCAGTGAGATAAATGTTTCATGGACATCCGGACACATCGCGCTGGTCGACTCATCGATAGTTGCGGCGCGGTCGAAGGTGGTACGAAGATCATCGACGATATGTCCCCGGAAATCCACGGACTCTCGTGAAAAAGTACGTATTATCTCTCGTCCGTGGGATATATACGGGGGTTAACGTATCTCGGCGATTTGGAACTGCGACCGGAAAGAGTTATAGACCAATCCAATCGTGTAATTCGAAAGGACCTATTTATTAAATTTAGTCGAGCGTTATGACGTTATCGTCGTTGCTTGAATTCCGTTCCGCTTTGTTTGATTATTACTTTCCGGTTTTGTTTGTCGCTGACATTTGTGTGTTTAGTATCGAAATGTCACGTATAACGATAATTTTCTCTATTTTTATTTGGATAAATAAATTATATAAAACTTATGTATATTTATTATACATTTAATATTATTTCTTTTGTTTTAAAATTTTATTATTAGTGAAGATTATTTAGACGGCTCGATTATATATATTAAAATGAGACATAATTAATTATTTGTTCATCATTCTTCGGCTAACACTTCGAAGATGTCGACGTAACATCACCAATCTTTTCATTTCATTCTTTTTATTCTTTGTCTTTCGCTCTTTCTCTTCATAGTACTCTGATTCTCCCTGGATGACTTCAAACGATTTCCCGAGTGTACTTGAGTCGAAGAGCTCTTACAGTTACAAAGATATATGTATTGCCGATTGAATAGTGTATTCATGTATTTTCTCGTTTTATAAAAAAAAAGCCGTGTTCTCGACGATCTCACAATGACTAAGGACCGTGTAAATGATGCGCATTTTTGCAGCGTAGAGATTTATTGTAAACACAAGGGAAGACCGTTCCAAAATAAATACACGTTTTTGGGTTTTTTATCGGAGTACGCTTGTTATCGTAATTTTTCTCGTGCATAAACGATAAATATATTTCTGTGCTGTACGAGGAAATAATTGCAAGCTCGAGGAAATATTGCTCCGATGTAAGCGTCGTGTTGTTGATATGTATTATCGCGCCTTCACGTATTATTACGCGTTCTTCAACCCTGAATGCAGATTGTCACGAATAATGCGACGCCCATTCATCTGACTTGTAGAAAAACGCACTTGTTGTCGTCGAGTTTTTTGTAATCTCAAGATTCTGTTTGTCGCGGTGTACACAAACCCCGTTAGTAACCGCAACTTTCCTCGTTAAGAAATGCTGATCTGAATGAGCTCATTCTTACGGTCGTTCGTTGTATACTCGAAGAAACTCCCGCAAAAGAATTTCATCTTCTTCTTTAATTTTTTTTCCCTCCCGTGCTTTTCTTATCGTTTTTCTGCCTTTCTCGCCCTTGCCGTCTTAACGCGGTCTGTTGCCGCCGTCGTCGCCGCTCTCAACGCCGGTAGTTAAAAACTTTTAATAATAGATAAATGAGCTGAGAGCTGCGATTGTCCCTGCGAACATTGTTCGAGGCAGGACTGAGTTACCAATCATTTTTATGGGAAAGTAGGGAAGAAGATGTTAGATACAATCCCGCGGTAAAGCCAGATGTTTCTTAATGGAAATTAACAATGCTATATTTTGATGAATTAAGCATTGAGCAAATAAAGACTTATATACTTTATAAAGTTTATAAAGACGAAATATGATGGAAATATTAAACGAATTTAAACAAATTAAAAATTCCACTTAATTTCGACATGTCTCTCTTATCTCATTTTTCTTAAATTGTAAGTTAATGGTAAGCAGCAACAAACTTTAAAAAAAAGAAATGAGGAAAAACTGTAACACACATCAAGTAATATAGTAATCTTCATCTTGCTACATATTTTTTAACGTAGTGATAATTATGCACGTGCAAGAGCGTGATTTGGATCGCATATCAGCCATTATCCGTGGCACGAAACCGAGAATACACGCCGAGTCGCTTTTCAACCCCGTTCACTTCCGGAATGCAATTACACAGTGTTTTGTCGCATTCTGCGCGGTGTGCTTGCGTTCACACGATTTGTTGTGTGGAGTTTTGCACTGAGATTCGCGATAGGATGCGAAATGGAATTGAGCAGCGAAATATTGATATCAAGAATTGCAGTATGCAAATTGTATGTACGTATATTTTTCGTCTGTAACTGAGAAATTTATGTTATAAATTATATGAGACACTCGCAAGCTTTTCTAGACGCACATCTCGCGTCAATGTTCGATACCGTTAAAATTCGAGCTACTATAATTAATTCTGAATTCCTCGGCAAGGGCTTACGGCATATAACGTGGAATTTTTACGCGACATTTTATACCCTGTCAGCCTTTAAGAAAACTTAATTAATATTTCGATGTAGTGCTTTAAAAATATACTCGCGTAAAAATGTCTAATATGATAAATAAAATAGATAGAATCTCAATTTTTTCATTTTAGAATAATTATTTTTTATTTTAAATTGAAAAGGGAAATGTGCAGCTAGATTACATTGTAAATTGTATTCTTCTGAAAATAATGTGACTTTACGTGATAAATTAATGCGATATATGAGATAGATTTTTAACCCTATAAGCGGAAAGCAGAAATGTTCTTCGAAATTTTATTCTTATACAAAGCTTTATTATTAATCATAATTTCTGCCATATTTATTGTATTAAAATTGTATGAAAATAATGAAATTTATTGTATCAGTGATGACATTATTTTATCTAACTGTATCTGAGAGTTTATTTTCTGTAACGTTTATTGCTATATCTGGTCTTCGACAAACGTTTATCGAACAACTAGACTTTTCTCACCTCGCAAACTTTCAATCGATTTCGTTCTTTTTATTTCTGATACACATGCGGTTATACAAAAATATCGATGACACAATATAATCATATAAAAGTCTTGACAACTTTTTGTTCGTCTCGTGAATCATATTGAATACCAAACTTTATCGAATAACGAAATTATCCATATATATGTATATATATATATATATATATACGATATACAGGATATATGTAGAACAAATTTAGAATCGATTCTGTTTGATATAAATTAATAATTGCATACAATATTTTTCTCAAACATTAATTTTTGCTAATTGTTAACGTACAATATTTTTATTTAAAAAAAAAATTTGATTGTCGAAAATCCTTAATAAGTTGGAAAAGTATATTAGCTTTATCCTCCAAGCTCCCTGTATTTATAAGAAATTATATTATTTTATTAATAGGACAAAATAGCAAATTAAAGTTTGATACCCTGTCCATTCTGTTTTCCTTGGATTACATTGTTGTCGCTAATCGCTAAATAGACAAAAAAAGCTTGGGCGAACGAGGATGGATCAAGTTGGACATCGGCTATCGTATAGCAAGAAGTCGTTGTAACGTTTCTTTTGCCCTAGCTGTTTTTCTCACCCGTGCTTTTATGGCGGCGGATAATAAAAGTAATGCCGGTCGTAAAGAAAATAAAGATGTCCTGTATCGAACATTGCGGGTTCACTATGACCGGAGCTGTTTCTTCACTCATGACAACAATTGGACCGCTATTTTCGGTAACTTTTACGTTTACTGTGTAATACACAAGTTCGTTATGTAGGTTGTTAATTTTAACCACGTTAAAGCATTAAACGCCTAATGTTCGTCGAGAAAGATGAAGAAATTGTGTGTATCACTACGATAATCTGATAATAAAATATTTAAATTTTGCACATATTAATGATATTTCTCGTGTAATAAAAATTTTATAAATATTTTTTATAATATATATATTAATTTTTTTTTTATTTGTATTTATATTTCCTTTATCGTATATATAGGGTACAAATATACTCAAATATACTATACAAATATACTATATGTATAGAGCATAATTTATGATATCATCGGATGCTCATTGTTATTATTAATGGTATTATTCATATATATATATATATATATATATATATATGATCAAAACTTGATTACAATTAAAAGTAATTTATGTACTAATACATATATTATTAGCATAAATATTATCACTTGGATTTGATTTTCAATTAATTAATCAATATATGTTTCAAACAAATATTGATAAAATCTGTATAATAGGTATTTTAATATTAAATAATAAATCTATATTGTGTGTGAAAGACATAAATAAGTATATATGAATATAAAGGTTTTGATAAAATGTAGGTTGAATTATTTTATTGAATTAGATTAAAAATTAAATATTTCAATAATACTTTTTATTATTTTAATAAATGTTTTCAACAAATTTCATAATTCGAATTCTTTCTTCTATAGTAAAATATAAATAAAGTTAGAAACAAATGTGATTTATAATTATTACCCTCCAATAATAACATTTAATTTAATTGATAAAGATATTAAAATAAAAATTATAATTTTTGATTATAATAAGGAAAATTGTTTATAATAATCACAATAATTAAATGAGAGCTATTTGCATATTCGTTATTACAAATTTGTTGCTCTGATTTTGATTTTGATTTTTGATATCGCAAAATCAATTTATCTAAATTAAATTTCTATCACGAAGTATTACAGGGATTACAATAGTTCGATTGTTAGTCGGAACGGAAATTTGGAGCGAAAAATTAATCGGCGCGTGATTTAAGTTGATAACATGCTGATTTTATTGGCACGTTACGGTTCTCGTGCGAGAGTTAACTGCTTTTGACGTTGCGTGTTTACTTCTCACGGTTACGCGCTGTTTCGGGAAAACAAGCCGGTTTATCCGATTTATCGGCGACAAATCCGACAAATTCAGAGCGCGCCGCACCGTCATGCCGGGATTGCGAGCGCGTATAACGGAAACGGAGGTGGAAGCGTCACGACAGGGTCCAGGCAAAGGAGGAGGCAGTGCTTAACGACCGTCGTGGCACGACACGGTGACGGCGGAAGCGTCGCGAGCGGCCAATTTCCCGGATTGTCCTGACGTTTAATGAATGCCGGCAGACGTTTTGATTTAGGGGACAGTTTCATTCCGAAGCGGAGCACAATAACCGCCAATTTGTAAATCGCCTCGTAAATCTCGACCGTCGCGGCCGCGTTGCGAATCCCGGCTTACACTACTAACGCTCCAATTGGATTAAACTATCGGCGCGCCGTTAAAAGAGATCGACTGGCACTACGTTAATTGTAAACGGTGTTGCGCGATATATAATAATAGTTATGGCATTGCAAAATCACGAATGGTGCGACATCACTTGGTAATTGGATCGATTTCTGATAACAGGATATCACCTGCGCGTGGGGCAAGAGAAACTCTGTCGTCATATTAATTAGTGATTTGCTAAGAATCGATCTTGCTTAGAATTAAATGTGTTTGTTATATTAACATTTTGGAATCGGAACGAGGAAATTAGGACGACGATAAATGTTCTTGGATTCGGGGATAAAACTAAAAATACATGTAATATATATTTAGATTTAAGAAAAGATGATTTATTTTCTCTATGTAATATTACGTTAGTTCACTTAAATATAGGATTTTATTTCTCTCCTCGAGTTTTATAAGATTGAACACAGCATATTTGATTTGCTTTGTTTAATCTTTGTGTAATTTTTCCGTTTTATTACGAATTTCCCGAAACAATAAAAGCAAATAAATGTCGATTCAAGTTTTACATAATTTCAACTAATAATGAGAGCTAAATAATGCTTAAAACAACTATACTAACAAAATTCTGAACTCGATTTTATTTAAAAAAGCTCCCATCGCTGAATAAGAAATTATACTGCTTAAAGGATTAATATCCAAATTTTGTTTCTACTTCAGTATGCATCTCATGACTATTCGACGTTCAGTCTCTCGGATGCTCGTTTCTCGAGCGTAAACATAGCTGTGTATGCCCTCAAAGTTTAGCATGCACTAACTGCGGTCTTCACCGAGTAGACGTGACATAACACGAGGATACCTGAAGTACGTGACTCTTTACATAACACGCTTATGTATTTGCATATAATCAAAGTGTCAATAATTGACAACTACATTTTTTCATATTTTTTTTTGCCACATTATATCAAGCTGTGATCAAGATCAGCTCTCGCGATTAATCCATATACTTGCATTTTTATTAAATACGAAATTATAAATTTTTAGTGTCAAGTAAAATTTTGGAAACAGATAATATTTTAATTATATTTTTCTGTGGCCTATTTTGAAATCAATCTTATATTATATTTATTATTGTCTAATTATCAACGATTACATTGTGCATTTTCTGTAAATAGAACTGTCCAAGACCGACACTAAAAAAAGGAAAATTGCCCGTAGCTATACATCCCCAGCATTTTTCCATGAGCTTGTCACGAACAAGTTTTCGAGAAAAATAGATAAAGGAACGCGAACGTTATATAACGGTGTTACGTAACTGAGTTTGCTAATTATGGAGCGAGCGCGATAGTAGAAGTAAATTCTCAGAGCTGTGGTGACGCAGGCCGTTTTACTCGAGTAGCATCGTTATGGAAATTCTTGTTATATATAGTAAAACTCGTGATAACATTATGAATTGCGCATTACGCGCATAATATTAGAAGGCTCTTTGCACTTTAAATATCCGTATAATGGCCTGCAAAAACTTTCGTTGCACTGTGTAAGCTTTATCTAAAAAATATCTAGCTCGTCTCTCGATAGAGATCTCTACATATGTATGCGGGAGACTTATTGCATCAGTATATTGTATAAATAATGGAGAAATATGGGGAAAAGAAATATTTATCACAAGAGAGTGTGAAGATATAAAAATATAACAGAGTTTAAAAAATATTTACTCTTTTCCTCTTTCTTTCTCTCCATATTTGAATATTTTATCTTATAATTTATAATTAAATACATTATATTAATAAAAAATAATATTAATAGAAAGATACGCACGCGCGGAAATAATTAATAATATATTAATTAATGAAAAATTCCCATCAATTTAATTCAAAATTATCCAGGAATTTACAGTTGTAAGAAATGATAGATGAAATATACGTATATTGCATTACATTTGATTCAGATTTATAAAAGTAAATATTGTATGTTAACTCAATACATCACTCTCTTTTCCTATATGTCGGTGCATATATCAAATCAAGAGTATCGGCATATGCGAATTAAATAAATAGAATTTTTATTATTTCCAGCGTTCCCATTTATCCATATTTTCAATAACATTCTATACGTATCCATATTGCAGAGCTCGCACTCATGATGCGTTAAATATTGTAATTAGCTTGTTTCATTCATCGCATCATCTTTAACCGATTTGATCTTCGTATTCGAGGTGCCATTGATAATTATTGAAGCATATACCAATATTGAATACAGATTTGAATCGCGAATTGCAGTTGCGTCTTGCCGAGTGATGTGCACATATTTCAAATATCGATAAGTCTGATTAACATTGGACATTCGTTAATTACTGTATTCTCGTATTACACTGACTTAGCCATGCGTTAATCATTTCATGGCTGTGTGCGTTTTCGACCAATCGGCATATTGCAATATGCATTTGGTCATGTATACATTATGCCAGATTGGCGTGTACATACGTTCTCCACGCTTCGTGCATTGTGCTGGATTTATATCGTGCCTTTAATGATAGAATAGGATTATTTACTGAGGACCACTAATAACCCTGCGCGATTTGTTTGCTTGCGGACAACAACCGCGTGTAACGATCATAGCGGACAATGTCATTAATGATAAATATGTTTTATCACTTACAATCGTTTTTTGCTTACGCTTTGCTTTCAGACGCCTTGTTTTTCTTCATTTTATTGAAAAAAATTAGTTAAGTTTATAAGTGAAGAATTTTTGATAAATTTACATTTCTTCTGTCGCGTAACTGACTGAACTTTTTTTGCTCTTTACAGATTACCTTTGGAGTTTAAAGAGGAAACATCGAGGGAAAAATGGCCGACCGACAGAGAAGGAGATACTTGACCATTAGTATACTGCACATTATCACAATAATGTGTCAAGGTATGTGGAGTATGTTTTAATGTACTTTTGAGACATTAATGTAACTTTCCCAGGAGGATAACATAATAACGTTACAATATAACGTCATTAAATCTGCCGTAAGGCATAAACGCTCGAATATATCTATATTTCCACTGAATTTAATTCCCCGATTTACACGATATTTACACAGAGACAAATATTACGAGTTCCATTCGTGTATTTATGTTTCGATTGTGAATATCGCAATGTAATATTCGAATATATATACTTACGTAATGCAGAATTGGCATTTTTTTTTCTTGTAATATTTTATAACGAGTCATAAGCTCGATAATTATACTTGTCAAGGGTAAATTTGATTATTATCGATGACAAATAATATCGAATTATTATTGCGACTCGATAAGATGCGATTGTGCTACCATTAGGATCATAACGATCATTCGTAGCACTCGGGCAACAGCGCGACATAACGTGCATAGATTAATTATATGGGTCTGTTACATAGAATAGTAGAAGACGATTGTGGCAGCATCTGCTAGAATCGTTGCGAAACAGTATAGTTCTGCTACATCAGATTGTTGTTCCGTACGTTAAATTGTACGGCTGTTTACTGCGATAGTTAATTCTGAAAATTTCATGTTTTTGTCTTTGAATTTTAATCGAGTTACATATCGCTCTGTGTGCTGCTTTTCGGTTCTAAATCGGTTGAAAAATTTCGTTGGGGACGCGAATTTTCAGAGAGGAAAATATTTCACAAAATATATAACGTAAATTTTTATTTTTTATATTTTATCGTATCTCGCTCGCGCAACATTATCGATTCTGATTCAACGTGACATATCCTGCCTTGAATTAGACAAGTGAATAGAATAATAATTTTAAAAAATTCTTTATTCTTGCGGTTTATGCACATTTTTTGCATATCTTTAATCAACGGCATTAATCAATCTTTCATTCAGCGTGTAATATCTTGCCGCGTTGTCGTTTTTTACTCGTTCCATAGGAAGTTGAGGTGGTATCTTTGAATCTTATTTTAGAAGCTCGTAATTATCGCTAAATAATAAGCTTTAGTCTCTCTCTTTTCCTCTCTCTTTTATTCACTTTCTCTAATAAGATGTATTAAAGAGCTCCATGGGATGAACTTTGCTTTGCTTTAGTGGCTATTATCCAAGTTTTAAACGATTTGATGCAACAGTATCTACTTTTCGAAGACAACGCGCTTGGCCAGGCGGGGTGAAAGAGAGATTGGGGCTAAAAATAAGGGAATGAGATAGAACTACTAAAGATGTGAAATAAAAGACCATGTCGAGAGATAGATAGATAGAGAGAGAGAGAGAGAGGGAGAGAGAGACAGAAATTGAAACACGGAATAGCGAAATACTTTGAATTCCGAGCCTTCCGAGAACTGGCGAGGAATATCCATGTTAAATTGGATTTACGCGTCTACTGATATAACTTTGTAATATTGTAATTAAGAATACAACGTCCTTGCAATAAATTTCAGGAACGTTGGCGCTAGTTCTTTGCTTTCGCGCAACGTTACATTGTGCTTGCGTTAGGTATTTTTTTTATGTCTTCATATTGCATATACATATACGTGGGAACAAAGAATAAGTTATAAAACGCGGACGACGGCAAAAAAATAAATGTAAATTCTTAAAACTCTGATTTAAAAAGGTAACCATATCCCTATCAATCAAATATAGCTATCAATCAAAAATACTTGCGAATGATGCATTCACTCATAATCAGTATATGTGCATACTCGGCTTTTCGTAATTATTAATTTCCAATTTTTTTCGCGATTAAGAGGTTTCTGCTGTTCTGCAGCTGTATGACGTATTGCTTGGCGGTATTATATCAATCTCACGAATGCGACGTGACGTTTTGCACACAGTAACAATTCTGTCATTTCCCTTCTCGATACGTCCAACTGCAACATTATTGAGATTTTTCATGCTTTTCTGCGTCCTAATATATAATAGAAAAAAATATTTTTACTTATATTGCCACAACACGGTTTCATTGTCGATTACGATCCAGCTACCTTTATATAAAGTTACATAACTCGTTACATCACTTTGAGATTTTCGCCTCAGGCGGGCGTTTGTGTTCAATGTGTCAAGAGCAGCGATAGCGTGCGTTCGTCGTTGTCTCGGATGCTCTGGAACGCTACTTTCCAATTTCTATCTCAGTTGTTGTTAAAATGTTGATATTTTTCGTTATAAGACCGATGATGATTTTTTCCGACCCAAACTTATAAATTTTGAATGTCCGTAGTCTAAATCACAAGTGAGAACTATTAAATTATTTTAACCCAATATAGAACTCTTCATAAAACATACTTAAATATTTTTAAATAAAATTAATATAGAATCCTTCAATGATTAAGCACTTAAGCTTTTAATTTTCTTAAGAGTCTTAATATTCGATTTGAAACTTTAAACACTGTGTTCTATCATTTTTTCTCTTATTTTCACATGTAGCTAGTGATTTTTCTAATTGCGAAAAATCGAAGTCATTATATTTTGTTGCTGTATTATTGATTTATAAAGAATTGATATTAGAATAGTTTTTTCCGATTCAATTTTACATTTATATTCTCTCTCTCTCTCTTTCTATGAATTCTCATATACGAGTAGGTATATAAATGAATATATACGCGATGTACATTTGTATTTGGCAATTATATATTACTTGTATTCTCGAAGCTTTTTGCGGATTATTATTTTCTTATTATAAATTATTTTTGCTCCGATAAAATTATTATAGGATAGGATATTTTATTATTTATTGCATTCGTTTGACGATGCACATATATATATATATATATATATATATATATATATATATTTATTCTTTGATTTTTTTGCTCTTATGCGTGTTCGTTGAAAACAGACAAATAGAAATCAGGTTAAAGTTATCGTAATTAAATTTGAAACACGCTGATACAGATCAGAGGTGTGAAAGCTCTTAGTATTTTGATATTGCGGGAACGTTGCGCTATTCCGGATCGGCCTAAGCAATGCGCGTGCAATTTGTCAGCAGCCATCTATGATGGCAGCGAGCACCGTAATTTCGTATCGCTTTGAGGCACTAATTTAAATACATATTAATACAACGCGTGTGTGTACGCAATATCCGCCTGATGCGGCGCGGGACACAGAGCAGTCACGGACGGCGGACTTTGGCGGCGTGAGAGCACGACTTTGCGTGCCAGCCAATCAACATGCCGGGCTATGCATACGAACGAACCTGTCGACGGCTTGCACACCGAATAAATTCGAATACGCTGAGCACCCGCGTTACGCGCAATAATGTCAGTTTAGCGGGCGAACCTGAATGGAGCAATGAGACTATACAGAATGGCGTGATCGTGCGCTACAGGATAGAATTCATCGCGAAATACCACTTATTTAGGGGAGAAACTATCGCAAATTTTAATCCTTAATCCTAATATGCTTATTTTATGTAGCGTGGGCTTAAAAGCTTTCTGCATTATTGCGAGAGTAATTTTGCTAAATAATTTTAATTTGTTTTTCAAAGAGAATATAAATTTGAATTAATTTATATTATCAAATAAAAACAAGCTTGTATGTGAGAATCAAAATATGTGTTAAAAAAAAAATTGGGCGTCAACCGAAGAATCAATATAATTTTCGGAGTTTGCAAAAAATCGATATTTTCACTTTTTACGTATTTAAAAAATTATATTACCTATATAAGGCTAGCGATGATAAAATGTAATCATTTGTTAACTATAAAATAATTTAGATTTAAAAAATGTATCTAGTTCAAAATTTACAACTGACGTTTGCAATTATTTTTAAATGTGATATAATGCAGAAATTTATGCAGATGGATTATTCTTTATGCTAAAAGATTTGACATTTATATTGATCTGGCCATGCAATTCTTGCTCGAATAAAGCGAACTGCAAAGTGTAAGAATTTGAAAAACTTTCAACTTAGCAATAAAAAATGTACTTTACAACTTGCAACGATCGTAAGTGATAAATTGAAAGTATAACTGCTAAGATAAAGTGGCCTCGATTTGAGAATAGATTTAAATATATCCACGAGTACTTTTGGCCCGTGACATTTTCTACGAACATTTTCAACAGTAAGCCATATAACTTATGTGTATATATTTTTAGAAGATAATCCAATATCTTATGTGTATATATATATCTTGTATATATATACACATATTGTCTTATTAATATATATATATACTTTTACTCTTAACCTTTTGATGATCATATATTTAAATTTATCAATCTTTATACGCATAATAGGTATTTTTTTACGATGCATTTTAGCCTACACTTTTATTATTAAAGATCACATTTTAATTGAGTGAAATCAAATGAATCATAATATTCATAATAAATATTCAAAAATGACAAATTCTCACGTCTGTCAAAATTTGCCTGTCATGACAGACTGAAATAAGGGTGTTCCTCGCGCCACTTCGTTTCTTTTGTCGTTATGGCGAATGGAAAAACTTCTGGTATTCTCCCCGGTCGGCAGTATAAGACCGTAGATTCTTGATGCAGCTTTTCTACTGAAGAAAGAGAAATAGAGAAAAAGCAAAAGGGAAATTCCTTGGAAAAAGTACCTTAGCTACTGCGCCTTGGAAAGGGTAGAGGAGCACAGTCGAGCTCGCAATCGTTGTGTTAAAAACTTCCCTTTTTCCCTGGCCGTGTTCAATGCGCTCGCTCTCTCTTCTCGTGACGCGCCGACGCGAGGATCGTATCGCACGCGCAGTCTCTCAGCCGCATAAATGCAAAAACATATTTAAAATGTTATCTTGTGGCGGACCGTGAGCCGCATTCAAAGTTTAGACATTAAATATACATTAGTATCGTTATAATTTCGCACGTATCTGCCATTTAACCTCCGTAGCCACCTTATGCAAGTATATATGTATATACAATTGTGCTCGATTCTTTTTTCAATAATGCTCTATCATTTCCCTTCAGTTTACATAATAATGATAAATCTGAAATAAGTGTACATATATAGAGCTTCAAAGTTATTATATATCTTTTTGATTTTTAGATATGTACAAGTAGGTAATAAAAGCGAGAAATTCCAAAAATGCAGTCCCATATTACACAATCAATACGATATTGCTTTGAAGAAGGGAGGGTTCCTTTTCCCTCAAGAGACAGACATTATATAAATTATTTATTTATATGAATGTATGAAATATTTGAAAAGTCAATGTAATGAAATAAGTGTACATATATAGAGCTTCAAAGTTATATGTATATCTTTTTGATTTTTAAATATGCACAAGTAGGTAATAAAAGCGAGAAGTCTAAAAATTGCAGTGACATATTACACAATTGATGATACGATATTGCTTTGAAGTTAGAGTTTTCTTTTTCCTTCAAAAGACAGACATTATATAAATTATTGATTTATATGTATGTATTGAATATTTGAAAAGCCAGTGCTGCTATGTATTTTTTTATATGTATTTTTTTTTGGTAGAAAAATTCGTATTATCTATTTAGAGATATTTCCAAGAATTTTGTCAGAAGTAATGAAAATAGACAGGCTATAAAATATAAATTTAAGAAATATAAAATAGTTCAATTTTATTTTTGATAACAGAAAAGTGAGACTCTTACTCCAGTTTTGTAAATCTATGTGATAAATATATTTTTTATTTAATTTCTATATATAAAATATTTAAGTTATATTCTTGGAAATCTAGAAATGCAAAATTTTTATTATATTTTTAAAAATTGACCTCACAGTTTTGTCATCAGAGATAATCAAAAGCATCTCCGTTTACGTGTTTTTTTTTAAATATGTGGCTGTCGTTTATCCGATGCAACTTCAGTACCATATATTTGATTTACACATAGAGAACGCAAACTGTTTGCTGCTGTAAGCATGGAGAAATATAAAAGTCGCTTTGAAAACTGTGAAAGCGGATGAACGCTGTCATATGTCGTCAGAGTGTTTTGTCGTGTGGTAAAAAAATAGAATACTGTTGATACGTTATACGCCTACTTTTATCATATCATCCTTGCATACTTGTATATCATTTCATTTACATATATGACGGTAAAATGCTATTGTCAAACTTTATTGAAAGGTCTTTTATACACTGGAGCATTATTTGTCCTCTTGCGCGATTATTTTTATGTATGCCATTCATATATCATTGAGCGAGTATAATTTATGTAATGGAAATTTTTGCATAATTGAGGAGTGCATTCAAATATTAAATATGCTTCAAAATTAAATATTCTAAAATTTTCTAAAAAAATTTTTCAAATTTAACATTTTTTGAAACATTCATTAATTTAATGTCTCTTAAGTTGTTTCTTATAGTTATATATATATAAGTTTATCTTTAAGATAGATAAAAGAGATTAAATTTATCATTAAATAATAATCCCAAAACACTGAAAGAATTAAATTTAATAAATAGCTGCTCTGTGCAAAAACATTCTAGATTTTTTATAAAAATGTCTTTTTGTTGTTCAATCTGAAATATCATTTATTCCATTTAACTTCTATTTCGTTCTTTGATTGTACACATTCGAGTCAAATCACAGACATGGCAGGGATTAGAGAATGGTGGCAGATGAGGAAGCTTCTGGTACGCTAAAATTTCTTTTGCGTCGGCCACGTACTACAATCGTTCTTTTCACGATTGCAGACTGTGACTGCCGTTAACGAGCGAACGACTTTTTAGCGCAACGGAACGAGACTGCAGATCGAGAATAGCATAGGAATGTGCCATGCTGTACATGCAGTACAAAATAAACCATTCTCGTACATCCGTCGATAAGGGAAATTTACTTTGCACATGTTTCTAAATTGAGCTTGATCATCGTTACATTGTAACGAATCGATCGTTAGAAAGAAATATATATATTAATGCATGTTTATTTATACATATTTGTTTTAAGAATAGTTATTAAAATTAAGGAAGATTTATTTATAAAAATAATTACACACACATACATTTTGTTCTTGTAAACTTTAATTATTTCGTCGCGTATAATATTCATCTAGAGACTACTGAGACTAGTAGAAAACAGGCATGTCAGCATGTGTTTTGTTTCATGCAATTGTTGCAACTCGCTCCAGTATCCGCTCGACGTTTTTGTTGTAACGTCATTGTAGAAGTTTATCTTAATTTTCTAAAGTCACGATTAATTAATGTATTTAGTACTTTGAAGAAAATGCAAGTAAAAATTTCAGCTTCGCAAGAAAAACTGTCACAATGCATTTCTATAATTTTTCAACATCATTATTATGAAATAACTACACTTTTAGTAACTGTTAAAAATTACGTTTGTTATTCGACTTTTTTTTTGCGGTGCCACAAATAGACTTCAACATTTCTACGTTACATTATATTCTGCATTGCGATTCGATAATTTTAAGATTTTACGATACGCTTCTGTGTGCACTCGCATGCAAATAGGTATATCAATATATGTATATGTATATCAATCTCCCCTAACATATTTGATGTAAGTCGCTATATACAAATTTCAGATATATACGGATATATTGCACGCGATATATATCTTCTTACTCCCGACTTCGCAAGATGGAAACTGACTTTCATCTCGCATTCGAGATGTGCGCGCGCGCGTACATATGTGCGTCGAAGCCGGCAGGCCTGTGTAAACTTTCGATTCGGTGAACACGACTTGGTGGCTTCTCGCGGACCGTTTAATGGCATTTCCGTGCTTCCAAAAAGGGAAATATTAAATTTCAAGACGCGAATATTCGTGTATCCGCGTGACGCGTATCGTATTCTAGAAACGTTGGCAGAAAACGCTACCACTTTTTGGCCTACTTCTGGAAGTGCGATAAAAGTGCGAACGAGAAACGGGACATAAACTCTGTCGACAAGCTTTCGATTCTTATCTGCAACTGTGTAAATTATATTGCAGAGTATTCACGCGCGCGTTTATTCGTTTTGAAACAATCGTACAAATTTACGTGCTCCATTTATTTCGTATATACCTTTACTCCAATAATTATGATACGTATTCTTTTGTCAAAATCTTGTCAAATTATTGTATAAAGTCACGAGAATCTATAAAAAAATTAATTCGATAATTCAACTATTTAATAGCGATATATAAAGGATAATAAAAAATAAAAAAATATATTTACCTTATTTTTCTTTGCGTGCACAAAGTCTCGCATTGCGTTTACTTTGAAATAAGCAGAGCACGATCTTATAATAATGAAAGGGCGCCGAATCTTCTCGTAGCAATTTTTGCTTTATTATCTACGCAATCGCAAAGTCGTGGAAATGGCGAAAGTTATGCCGGTATTTCACTTTTACGAGAGTTTACATTGACGTGTATATATCTATTTAATAAAGAGAGAGCGAGAGTGGGAAAGAGAAAGAATGAGAGAGAGAGAGAGAGACAGGGTGAGAGAGAAAAAGAGAGCGAGAGACCGAGAGAGAAAGAGAGAAAAAGTAAGCTCCGGTTGCAGTAGACTGCAAGTTCGCAGACTGCAGTTTTGTGTTATACGGTTCTACCCGCTTCCAGCTCGCGTCTTTCCCGACGATACGTAACCGGGCTAACGCTATAAAAACGTCCGGCGGCATTGCAGGTTACAGACGTGTTACATGCCCGCCATGCGGTCATTCATCTTCCTCCCAGCTGTGTTTCTACCGCGGCATTCTCTTCGCTTCTTTACTTATTCGCGTGCAAATTTCGCGCCTTTTATCCGACGAAACGGCGCTTTTCGCTCTGTTTAAGCAACAATTTAACATACAGAGGACTAGTTGTATATAGCGTTGTACCTGGCGCAAAAAAGTGCCATTTTTCAAAATATTAATACATTTTAAGAGAAATATTATCTAAAAATATTTATATTGTCTTACATTCACAGAGGCTTTCTAATAATAGCTTAAAAATATAGTATAAAAAAATTCTCGCGCGTTTAATTCTCATTTATTACCAAGAAGATTAATTATGCTATTTAAGAGCATTTTTTTCTCCTGTTATACTTTGTAATACAAAATAATTTTCATTACTGTTTCATTGAGGATTACATGCAAGAGTAATACATAAAATGAGAATTATTTGTTTGCACAGCAGTTATGTTATGGATATGGAATTGCGGCAAGGAAAAATGTTATATTATGCAAGATACCTCGAAAAAAAGAAAGAGAAGAGATTTATTTTTAAGTTTCCCAGAGTTAAAAAAAATCACGACGGTTATTGTCGATTGCGGATGCTGGAAATGTCAGCAAGGTTGGGTGGGAAACCTCTTAATGCACGGGAGCATTAAGGCGTCTAATTTCGCCTTTCTGCTTTCCACGTTGAAATGCAATATCGCCACGGAAGGATTTTGCGCGCGAAGTATTTCCAACATTTCTCAACTATTTCCCAAACTAGACTGTTCGCTTCATCAATTGCGGTCTCGTTTGCGGACCATCAAGCAGCAATCTTATTCACACAGACGATGCAGAAAATTACTTAATTTTTAAAAATATTTATGATATCTTTTCAACTCTGATATTTGGAGATGTGATTAAAATAATTTTTACAAATGTTTTTCTTTAACAATTTTCATATTGAGAATTTGACAACTACAGTCACAAAGTAAACTTGATCTTAATTGCCCTATTATTATTATCTAAAATTTTGAATTACAATTTTAAGATTTAATGATGGCTTTAATATATATTCGAGGATCGATATTTTTACGATTTTTCAAACGACATCGCACTTGGTCATCGTTAACATTCGTCTCTTCCTGATAAATTGTAGGTGAATAATTGCGAAAGATTCGAAAGGGAAAGTGAAAGCTGTTACATGTCAGATTTAGGTCAGGTATTCATAATTATAACGAGGTGAACGGGAATACAACGTTTAATTGCAGCATTGCATCCATTCTATTCCCCTATTTTCCTTTCCGCTTGCACTTATCCAGTTGCATCGTTGCCGTCTTTTGCGGAGGACACTCATCTCTCGAGAAAGGAAGACGAAAAAGCAT